CCTTCCGTGGTCCTGTTCAACACTTAACATAAGTGCTAGTGTAATCCTTCAGTCATGACCAACTGAATCGGGAATACACTACAGTCTTTTTCCAAGTGGGGTCTCACTGCCAGTCTAGACTGTGAACGAATAGTTTAGTCTTATAAGGAACCGATAGGTGATCTTTCCGTTCGAAACTCTTCGAACCACACTATCTCAATATAAGACATGGAGTAGGTATTGCATAAATAAATAAACTGCAAACATATGTACTTTGACCGAAACATGATTGCCAGATCAAAATGGAATTGATAGAAACTACAAAACACAGCTTTTACAGCATACCTCTAACACTACAGACGTAGTATTCACCTGACAAAGAAGTCTTCTGCTGCAATAAAAATACGCCCCTGAATCTTCCACATCTTGACAACAGCACTGCAACAATGATCAGTGCAAACACCTCTCCACAAGGCATCCTCGTAAACAAAGGAATGCCCATTAGTCGCTTCAGTGCTTGCGTCTGAGACAGAACGAGGAGATCCTCGACATACTTATTGTATACAAATGACTTTGAATACAGCAAAAACCTTCATCAATTGATTCAGTACGTGTACCGAGTAGCTCCGTCACTACCAGGATTGGTTGCGCACCTTTCGACAACTTCCGCTAAATCCCCCAAGGTCAAACCAGTACTTTCTTGCCCAATCTGCTAAATCAATCCCTCAGCCGAAGCCATATAAAGCTAAAGTTGTGCTTTCGCCCAGGTATAATACGCCTCTAAAATAGGAAGAAGGATGGATAAACGACCCTTTGCCGCCGCGCTTTTGCCAACTTTTCCACACATTGCATTACGCGATAATGCTTAACTAGTCCTCACCTCTCTACAAGCCTGGACCCTTTTTAGAAAGGAATCGTACACTAGCACCGGCATTCGAGACCCCATAAAAAGGGCGTTCCTCTTGGCTGACCTTAGACAGATTTGCAACAACTTTGGACAACACTTCCGACTACTTGTCGAGCCCTTAACCGCTATACGCGGCAGAACTGCTTGTTTGGCACCTATTTATGAAGGGAACTGGTACGGGACTCGAGATGCACCCGAAACAGCTCCTCAAACAACAAGATAGTTTGCTTCACGTGGACATTTGACTACACCCGTGCTTAACACATGCAACTTGTACGCGCACAACAGATGATTGAGTTTTGCAGTGGTATAGAAAGGAAAGATCCGACAAAACCGGTCCTGAAAGCCAAGATAACATTTCGATCACCAAAAAACCATTAGTCATATACTTCCGCCAGAACTGCTACTTCTACACACGAAATAGAAGGGACTGGTGCAGTGGTAGGCGAGAGTGCGCAAAACGACTGCTGGAAAAAATACCGATACGAGCCATCTTGACTTGCTCCCTTGTTGACCACTTGAGGGGAATTCCCAAGATCGAGTCTAGGTTACCCTTCCCGACTCACTTGGTAGCGTCATTATACCAATACCTCGACAGCGATTGCATTTCCTCATGCATGGCTTTCAACCCTTGAGGCTCCCCCCTCGCTAGTGACTGTCACATACTCTTCTGGAGAGTACCTAGTGGAACTTCTTCTCTCTCGATTTGATCTCCGCAACTCAGGTTCTGAAGACTCATCTTCATCGAGTGGCTCCACATCATTCGTCTCCAAAGAAGCATCTTCATCATTCGCGTTATCAGAAGTGGGCATCTTTGTATCTTATTCAATATTAGTCTCATTTACTTGTCTCTCTAAGTCATTCCTTAAATTTGAATAGGAACTAGTTTGAGGTAAAGGTTCTCCCCGTGCTGGTAAACGAAAAGGTACTAGTTAAAGTATCCGGTTTGGTTACAGGAATTAGGTTGGTTATTGGAAATAGACTCTTTCACTCTATTTTTTTATATACGCTTTCTTTCGCCTTATATAATAGTTAATGTGATGGGAGCGGTATTTTGTAAGGCAGCCAGTCAGCAGTCAGGTTGAGATGAGCAGGTTCCCCCAGGGAAGAAAGCAAAGAAGAAAGCTCCAGGCTGTTCGAGTTTGTAGGATAAGGAGAGCAAAACGAGACTCAATTATATCGAAGAGAAGTGAAGTCATAAAAACCGCTCAGAATCACACAAAAAATAACTGGAAACCTCAAGCCTCGAAGCGGAGCGAGTGTAGACCACCAACCTGATATTTTCCACCACTTCTTAACCGAATCACAATCGAAAAATACATGGGCATTAGATTCCCACCTCGAACATCTGGGACACCTGGCCTCCACCCTGATATGCCTCCTGGTGCGATTTTCCGCTGAAGGAAAAGCCAAAAGACTGACCCTCCAAAGAAACAATTTAATCTTGGGTAGAATATTCAATTTCCATAATGATGTCCACCACCAAAATTTGGAGGAAGACGAGGACTCCAAAAATCCCGAAGATTGGTGCTTAAGCAAATGGTATCCACTCTTAACCGTGTACTCACCATTTTTAGAACAGTGCCAAATGATGCGATCAGAGACATGATTCAAGCTAAGAGGAATAGAAAGAATTTTGAGCGAGTCAATAGGCAAGAAAACTCGGTTGATCAAGTCTTGATTCCAGTCTCCATTTCTCCCAATTAAGTCACCTACTCTCCAACGCATACCGGCCTTAATGACTTCTCGACCCCACAGAAGGCTTCTCCAGATGAATGACGAACCTGGACGAAGTGAAGCTTCTAGGAATGAACATGAAGGAAAGTACTTGGATTTGAGAACCCTAGACACTAAGGAATCCGGTTCCGAAAGGACCCTCCACGCTTGTTTCCCCAGCAAAGCTTGATTAAACTTTGAAAGATCTCGGAAGCCCAAACCGCCAAGTTGCTTGGACAAAGTTAATCTGCTCCATTTAACCCACGACAATTTCCTTTCACCCTCCCGGGATCCCCACCAGAATGGAGCAACTAGACTCAACAATTGGTCACAAATGAATTTCGGGATTCGAAATAGGCTCATAAAATAGGTGGGAATAGATTGAACCACCGCTTTGATTAGAATTTCGCGCCCAGCCGAAGAAAATAGGTTTATCCTCCAAGACTGGAGTCTTTTCAAAATTCTCTCCCGAATCGTCGCGAAGGTTCGACTTTTGTCCCGGCCTATCATTGACGGGAGACTCAGATAAGTATTATTTTTTTTTTTATCGGTAACATCAATTTTATAGATCAAAACTGATGGTACATCGACCGTCCCACGGCATACAAAAGCAAAGTGGGCAGCCACGATCTCGGCTCCTCACTCGCTAATCAAAATTCCTTTTCTCTTGATTCCCCAATGCAAGATATAAGTCCATCAAAGTCTAAGACTTTCCTCTCAAAGTCGGCAAGTACATACAAATACACCGCGAATATTGTGCGATAAACACGGGTTGTAATCTTGCGTACCTTAAGGAGGCCAACCCCCGCTCTCATAATCCACGTGAAATATCATGCATGAACGTGGACTTGGAGAAAAATGGGTCAAAACTCAAGAAAATGGCTTTGGAAGGTGGCTGGCGCTGGCTGGGCGCGCTTGATACGGAAGTGGTCATTAAGCCTGGCGAGTCTGAGGAAGAGCCCATAGATGATCTCGATATTTGGCTAGAGAACATGCTCGAGGAACCACAAGGTCGGGATTATCGGCCTTCTTGTACACGAGATTGGCCGAGAGATTGTGGCGATAGGTCAAGGACAAGGTCAAGGAGGCGCAAGGCCAAGCGAGTTAAGGGGCAATGCATGCTAAGGGCTAATGCGAGGAGTAATTGGTGTGGGCCTTGTGCGAGGAAAAGGTGCGCATGGCGCATAGAGGCTAAGGGAATGGGCGCGCGAGGGGTGGATGATGGGTGGAAGATGCGCGCGGGCTATTGCATTGGGCCGCATGTTTGGTGCGAAGGGAGGGTCAGCCCTTTAGGTGAGCCGGGCCCATCGGGCGTACATGATCGCGCCATAAGCGATTGGGGCGCTGGGGCATGGGACGGTACGCGCGACGAAGGGACCAGCGGGAATGTCGGGCGCGTGACAGGGCGCGAGTGAAGCACAGGCGCGCGAAGACTAGGCCGCGCAGGACTAGGTGATCGAGAGTCGACGCACGGGCCAGCCGCGTGCGCAGTTGGCGACGCGTGCGGAACAGGTGGACGCCTAGGACGAACAGGCGTAGGTGAGATGGGAGACGGGGGAGAAAGCCGAGACCGATCGGCCATAGGAAGGCTGGGCGACTGCGCACAAGTGCAAGCGAAAGGTGGCAAGGGCAACGCGCACGCGTGCGAGGCCAACATAGGAGAGCCGAGTCCGCCGAGGACTAGGCGTGCGAGGCGGCGTGCGATGGAGACAGTCAGGGCTTAGGGTTCGACTACTTGGAGTGCAAGACAAGGAATTTTGGAGATCAAGATTATTAGCTTAATTAGGATTTAGGGATATTTAGTTCCCTTGTTGCTTTAATATTTCTAGTAGTATTAGGATTTAATATTATATGCTTTAATTAGAGATCTAGTTGGAGTAGTATTAGAGATAATTAGGATCTATAAATAGGGTTCTTCCCTCATTGTTTTTCATGTCCAGAATTGATGAGTTAATAGAAACGAATGTTTGTTCATCGTGTGTTTAGGTAAGGCCATTAGTGCGTGTTTATCATACAATCTGATATAGGATATTATACCCACAAGGCTGAACCGGTCTATTGACCGGTCGAGGAGGTCGTATTATGAGGAAGTCAAGGAAATCGAGCAGTTAACCAATCGACCAAGCAAAGCTGTCGACCAAATTATCCTTCGACCAGATACATGATCAGGCAACCTATTCGACCTCAACAGGTCGACTACCTCGAGGACTTAACACCACGCTGTTCGGCCGAGTCATAGGCGCGTGAGGGAGCCTTTAACAGAATTCCAGGAGAATATTTACCCCATGTGCACGGGGACACGTGTCGAGAAGGCAGTGGTGGATAGCGATAACCACCCCTGACAGCCTACCCCATGTGCAGGAGGACACGCGTCCAAAGAGGATTAGTGCAGGCGATAGTGGCGACGGCTACCTCTGACACACGCGTTTGGTGTGTACGGACGGGCAGTTAGGGCAGACAGCTCATCAAATCTGGGCAGCCCTAGGTCAGGTATCTTACCCCTATATAAAGGGAGTGAGCCTTTCTTCTTCAACACGATCATTCTATTGCTTACTCTTGAGAATTGATTGAACATACACTGACTTAAGCTTCGGAGCCTCTTCACCGGAAAACCCCTCCGATGTGAGAATTCTTTGTAGGTGCACGATGTTCAACCGGCGAGAAGAAAGGCAATTATTCAAGTTCCAGCTGGTCGGGAAGTTTTGTGTTACCATTTGGCGCCGTCTGTGGGGACTTTCGTTTGAGAAGTTGTGTTTGAAGCTCAGCTATGGCGGATGGAATTCCCAAAAATTTGCAATCGACGTTCGATGACGCTTGGACGACGAGCAGGCCGTTTGGACAAGGCCCTCCTCTGGGTTTTTTGGCCCATCCCAGGCGCCGGTCACTCCTACGCCGGTTCTTCAAGGTGTATGAGCGACGACAGTGGTTCCCGGAGGAGATACCGGCTCCAACCGTGCCCAGGAGATTCGTGCAGCGGATGCGGCGGCGATGCCGCCACCGCCGCCACAAAACCCAACGGCCGCGCCTTTAGGAGGAGCATCGACGCAACCAGGGGGAGCAACGGGACAAGGAGGGGCACCACCACAGGCAACGGTGCAAATCCCCGGCCAGCAGGTGGTGATGACCAGGCAGGAGATGCAACAGATGGTGGTGGAGGCAGCTGCCCAGGCGGTGCAGCAGGTCACAAACAGTCTCTCTCGGACTACAGCGATGTCGAACACTGTTGCGGGGTCACGCCAAAATGCGGAGGAGGATGAATCTAGCTATGGTGGAGGCGGGCCCCCACATGACCGGGAGATGGAGAGAATGGCAGAACAGTTGTGCCAATTGCAGGCTAAGGTGGATGGTCGAGCGGAGAGACGCGCTCGGGGACACCCGTTCTCGGCAGACATACTAGCAGCACCCTTGCCAAATAACTACAAGGATACCAACTTGGTGTTCGATGGGACTTCTGACCCGTCGAGACACGTGAGGACATTCGAAAATATGGCTGTGTTACATGGATATATTGACCCCGTTAGTTGCAGGGCCTTCTTATCGATCCTTCGGGGAGGAGCGCTCGACTGGTTCCAACAGCTCCCCCCAGGCTCGATCGTGGACTTCGAGGATTTTGCGGAGAAGTTGACAAATAAATATTCGAGCGCGGTGGCTCAGGATAAAACGTATTTGACACTGATGGCAATGAGACAAGGCGAGAAGGAGTCACTGCGTAAATATGTTGCTCGACACAATCAAGCTTGCTTGGAGATTCCATCAGCGGTCGATGAGGTCAAGGCGGGGGGATTGATTAGGAGTTTGCGGGCAGGACCGTGTCGGACTTCTCTGGCTAAGACTCCTGCTCATACGTATGATGAGGTGTTGAGGAGGTGTAGGAAATATATTAATCTCGAGGAGACCGAGGCAGAGTTTGCCAAGCTAGAGGAGTTAGGTCGAGGGGAGTCGAGGAAGGAGAAAGCAGTTTTGCCTAAAAGGAGAGCCTCGCCCAGGAGAGAGGGGCGAGCTAAGCAGGATCGAGGGCGAGAGGACAGATGGAAGGACCGACCTATCGCTGGAGGGAAAAGATTCCATGATTATACCCCGTTGAACGCGAAGGTAGCCGAGGTCTTGATGGCCATGGAGAAAGGGATAGATGGGAAAGATGTGACGTGGCCAAGTTCGAGGTTCGAAGGGCCAACCCAACCGAAGTCGAGGAGATATTGCCGCTTCCACAAAGACTATGGCCATACTACTAAGGATTGTCGGCATCTCAAGGACGAGATCGAGCGCCTTATTCAAGCAGGGCATCTCAAGGAGTTTGTTTATTAGGATAAGGGGAGGAGGAAGGAGAAGAGAAGAGAAGGTGTCGGGAGGACTCGGTGGAGAAGAGCAAGGACGATGACGATGAGGATGCACGAGGTGGTCGAGATGGTCGAAAAAGAGAGGAAGGGAAAAGGAGGCGAGGAAGTAGGGAGCGAGAAAGAGAAGGAGATGGAGGCCAAGTGAAGAGAGGCACGATATATATGATTTCAGGAGGACCGACGGACGGAGACTCGAATAATGCAAGGAGAGGCCATGTCCGACCAATGAAAAGGAAAAGGGAGGAGGTGGGTATTACGGCCCGAGTACCAGAAATCAGTTTTCGAGCAGAGGATGCAGTGGGGGTGGTGGTACCTCACAATGATGCTTTGGTAATTACGGCTGAAGTTGCAGGTTTTGATGTGAAAAGGGTGTTTATAGACACAGGGAGTTCGGTCGATGTTATGTTTTATGATTGCTTTATGCAAATCAATCGGGAGTTGAATGTGGAGCTGAAGCCGGTGGCTACGGCCTTGTATGGCTTTAATGGCGGGGAGGTTATGCCAATGGAAGAAGTGAGCCTATCTGTAGCACTGAGAAAGGGAGCGATCCGCAAGGTTCGAATGGTGAGATTTGTGGTCGTAGGAGCTGAATCATCCAACAACATCATAATGGGGAGAACAAGCCTAAACGCGTTCCAGGCGGTCGTATCCACGTACCACATGACGATCAAATATCAAGTGGGCGAAAACGTTGGTGAGATCGCTGGGGATCAACTTACCTCGAGAAGCTGCTACCAGACCACTGCGAGCAACAACAAGCAGTTAGCAAGGAGGCAAATGCACCCTTAGGGGGAGGAAGTTAATCGGCCGGGAGGGTCGAGGTCGAAGGAGGAAAGACATAAGTCGGAGAAGGGGAAGGAGAGTGTAGAAATACAGCCAGGTGGCGAAGTGGAGGAGATGCATATGGTCGAGGGGCGCGAAGAGAGGAAATTTCGGATCGGGAAGGAATTGGAGGAGCCAGTGAAATCATGGCTAATTAAGGTGATAAGAGATTTTGCGGATGTGTTCGCATACTCGAAGGAGGAGTTGACTGGCATCAAGGCCGAAGTTATTGAGCATCGGTTGAACATCGACCTCACTGTAAGACCGGTGAAGCAAAAAAGGAGACACCACGGGGAAGAAATGGATAAAGTAATCGAGGTGGAGGTAGAAAAACTCTTGGTGGCAGGTCAC